TTTTGCACATAATAGCACAATGATATAAAAATACCATGTTTTTAAACAGTCTTTGAGCTCAAGTTTCCATTTCATTAATTTCATTCCATCCATTTCAGTTATTCAGGTTGGGACAGATCAGTTTCAGTCTTCTCCTTTTTGGCACATATTTTCCAACACTCTGGAGAAATTTATACTCCCAGACACAACCATTTATTCCAATTACATACAATGATTACATCAGTGCAAGTGAAACAAAGTAACTGCGATGAAGTAAACTTATGTAGGTATAATTAGGAGCCAAATTAGATCTTTACTTCACTTAATTACAGAAGAATTTAAAGGCATTTACATGCTTTAGGGACACAGTCCATCAATTTTAAGCGACTAGTGCTAAAATGCACATGCTTTCAGAACTATTATTCTCAGTCTTTCCTTCTTTAAACCCGCTGCCACATTTAGTGTTCTCTGAATTCTATCTAGTACGCAGCATCTTCTCCCAGGACACCAGCTCACCCTGCTGCTCCCTAAGCAGCGAGCCACCCTGCTAACTCCAATGTCACCGACCATCCATTCCAGTCAATGTTTAGGAGAGCTGGTATCAAACTGGTATCAAACTGGTAGTGCTTGCCCCTAGCAATTTGGCTTAACTTCTTTCTGCATTGTATCATCGACCTGATTTTTTTTAACCATAAGAGACAGGTGGGTAAAACTCTTACCTTGGTTTGCTTCTTCTCTGTAGCATACACTATCGAGGTACAACAGACTTCAGCAAGTTTCCGACCCTGTCCGTAGAAAGACCAGCAGCAGATTTCATCCCCTATAACATCCTTAATGAAAAGAACTCTGCCGTTGAATCGGAGAGAGAGTTTGTCAAACAGCTCTATGTTCTTCAGCAGGTTGTCATCTGAGTTACTGCAACACAGCGACAAGAGAAGGAATATGGTTTCCGTGGTTTTTCAACGGGCCATCTCTACAGAATTTATATGCCTGCTCCACCACAGCTTTAAGCATTGATCTAACTGCAGCACACAAACAAGTAGTGACTCATGGCCATCTGCTGCCAAGAAAAGAGAGGGTAATAGCCAATTTCAGATACAAATAAGATGCTCTGATCCCCATGAGCAAACACAGCAGCCTTTGGAGGTCAAGCTATATAATTAATAACGACAGCACAATTTCCCAAATCATTACATCAACTGTCTACATCTCTTGACTGACGCTCAAGACTGTTAAATCCTCTGCTAACTGCAGTTTTCCTTCGCTTAGGGACAGCAAAGTTCCAAAGAGTCAATGCTGCATGGTAGGAAGCCAGCTAAAAAGCAAGGTGTTCTGCAAGTCACACTAGTGACACCATATACACATTTCCAGGGTGAATGCATTATTTAGAAACCTAAGTTTTAATGACAGCCAGTGCAACATGGGATCTTAATTACTTTTCAAAGCAAGATCTAGATGTTCTAGAGAAAAATAAAATGTATTGTATTATAGCTTTAAAATCAAGTAAGCTATCAGAAAACTATTCTTAAAATTTCAAGTATTTTACTTAAATAACAACATCGTGGCCACTAAATGTCCAATTTGATTAAGTAAAACACACCCAAAACCTAAAAGCCTTACTCCTCCAATACTAGCTTGAATGCAGCTGTACTGGAAATAGGTACTCTGTGCCCCTTTGTCTCTTTTTATGGTGGCTGGGAAATTATGTGCAGATATGTGGAAATTAGTGAACGCATTACTGCCTAAACAACAAAGCCAACCTTGCTAGCTTTAACAGTAAAATTCCTTCCTCTTTGGACCCAGAAGCTCAAAGTTCACACCTTGCTGCCAAGAATCTACCCAGAGACATGACATCATACTTTTGTACGCAGTATCTTCACTTTTGCAAGTGGTCCAGGAAGGCTACGAGCCCCTTGTGAACCAAGGCACTGCTAATAAGAACGGCCGGCTGGGCTCCACGTCAAACACGGGGTCCGAGAAGTATTCCTGTTCGGATCTGAATAAAACAAGGGTGATCTGCAACCAGACCAAACCTGCAGCTCGCAAGAATCATTTGCTGAAGCAATCTGGGATTCAGCCAGTGGCAAGTCCCAGCCTCTACCAAGCAGCAGCGCTGGGAAAAGACTGTGGAAGTCTTCATCCAGGTGTTCTTAGAGCACACTGACAACGGAGCTGCGAAAGCTCCTTTTATACCATTGATGAGCAAGAAGAAAAAAAAAAAATCTTTCCTTGCTAGCGGCCAGTGTGGGATTTGAAGCGAAGATGCCCCACTCAAACACCACCATGGCATGCAGATTCATGCGCAAGGATTAACTGGAACCCTGCAGCCAGCACCTCCTGGTATCGGGGATTCTGTCGCGGGCATTACTGCTACATTCACGTTTCCAGAGCCATGGTGACTGACACGCTATTTGGTGCCTGCTTTAGCATCACTGCTGTAAGCTCCAGGGTAACACAGAGAGGAGTCCCATACAACTGGCAGATGCAGAATGCACTCTGCTGAAAAACAGGCTGCTCTTCAGCACTCCCACAGGGAGCATTTCCTGACTACCTGAAACATCGTGATTGTTAGAATCCATCTCTCTGACAGACAGACCATCAGTTTGTCTAGAGAAAAAAGGTTCCAAGATTGCATCTCAGCCTGAAAAGGCCAAAAATGAAGATTCTGCATAGCATAAAGGATCACTCACATTGCTTCACTGACTGGTTTGGGAAAATCCAAAGCCATTCTGATAGCATCATAACAAAGGATCATGATAGTTACAGCATAAAACTAAATAAATAACATTACTTTATGCAGGAGGAAGGCCAGTAAATTCTTGCCCTGGCCCAATCTGGGTTGTTCCTGAGCAGAGCAGACACTTTCCTTTGTAACCAAATAATTAATTCACTTAGAGGCACTAGAGGTGTTGGAACATCAAGAACGTCTGTAGGTCACAGTAAGAGTGCCGGCAGAGGTGTATGCAGACTCAAAAGTAAAGCTAAATGATGAGGCAGGGATCATGGCTCCTCAGCTTTACATTGACAAGGTAATGCTCTCCTTACCAGTTCGTGCTGCATTCCCTAAATTACATCCAGTTTCAGCCAATATTCTCAGCCTCGCTGATCTTATCTCTGGTCCCTTGTTTCTGGTCATCCTTCTCGCACAACTGAACTGTAGGCTACACTTCAACAGATACAGTTTGGTGTGTTCCCCTCCCGTTTAGATTCACATCAGTCAAAAATAACTGCACTCAAATCCATAGAAAAGCAATCTTGTAAGCAAAAAACCCCCCCAAAACAAACCAATCAACCTAACCAAAAAGCCCACGTTAGGTTGCACCACATCTTCCTCCACTCTTGTAGTCAAAGTAAAACTTTCCCATTACAGTGGGGAAAAAACTGACATACCTGGTGTAGGAGTATTTATTGTTGCTTCTATTATAAAGCAGCTTAACAACAGGCTGTTGGGAGAGAAAGAAAAAAAGCAGAAAAGGTAAGTTGTGTGTTTGAATACATTTAGCAAAAATTCAGTTGATCACTGGATAGTTGTGGAAAAGCAGTTACTTTCATTGATGATTCTATCAGTCTCTCTTCTTCTTTCGGAGATGTGATAATAGGGATGCTACAGACAGGTTCATACAAGTCCTTCTTGTCCTGTTTTAAAGAAAGAAGAGAGAGAGGAAATAAACTCGAGAGATAAATGCTAAAGCTAACATCTGCTGCTGCTGTGTTCTCCAACCCCTCCAGCCATGTTCCCAAATCCTGTGATGCAAAGGAGAAAAAAATCAGTTCTGTGTTGCTATAGTAACCACACAGCACTACCTTGATCTGCAACTCAGAAATACAGCGGAGAGATTTCCCATCCCCAGGAGGCAGCAGTAATTGAAATATCGGGATGCAGGTGGATGTCCTTCTTAGCTATATCAAGGACCCCAAGCTCAAGTCATATTTGGTTTAAGTGGGATTCTTATTCCATCCTTTTTTGAAGAACAGAATAGTAAGAGTTCACACTACTTTTAACTAGCTCAAAACACTACAGAATATGAGAATATCAGCCATGATGAACTGAACATTTGGCAAGAACAGCATGTCACCAGAACGGGCTTCGGCCCCTTGTGATGCAAAAGCAACAGTCAAGAGCATGTGGTACAGTCTGTGGCTCCACATTCTTCCCGTGGCAAATTAAGGAAAGCTCAATAGCTAACAGGAAAGCCTCAGAACATTTTGCTTTCAGAAGAAAGGCTTTAAATTCCAAACCAGAAGGAAAACTGTCAGCGTGGCTTTGCATTTCTTTCAGAGGATACAAGTATGCTGAACCTAGTATGCGAGGCATTTATTCATTACTAAGCTTTGTCCTGCACAAAGCAGTAATTTCACAATCTCAAGACTAATAGTAAGTTTTATACATTGCATCTGGGCGAACCTCATTAAAAAGCTGGCAGAACAAGCTGATTTCAATCAGCAGAATGCACAGAGACTCGTAAAGCAAATAAAGCTACTATGGGCTCAGGCGTTTGCAAAACGGGTACGGAGAAAAGTCCTGAAAATACTCAGTGCTTATTACCACATAGGTCTTTTTCTCCATTAAGATTCAAACTTAGGAAAACAGCTATCACGTTTCCAAAGACTCAAACCCATTCCATCTATAAACATTACCTAATTAGAAGTGACATAACTTGAGGGAAATTTAGACAAATGTCATAACGTCTTTTAAAACATATGCTCAAAATAATCATGTTTATTCAATCAGATTCCTTTAAATTTCTGGCTTTTATATCATTTCACGCAAGAGGAACTCATTCACTATCTATTTCCTAAATAAAATTTTTTAAAAAGGAAACAGCAAAGAATGAGTCCTTCTAGTTACATGACAAACTGTGAATACAGTTTCTACTTTATTCATCCTCCTGGCGTACTTCTGAGGTAGAAAAGTGCTACCATCCCCATTCTGAGGGGGCAGCTGGACAACTGAATGGAAGCACAAAGGGAAAGGATTTACCCATCATCATACCAGACATCTCTGAAATGACAGGAACCCAAACCTACATCTTGCACATTCTAGACTCATAGAATCTTTCTTTTCTTAAAAAGGGTGGGACAATTTTTCTTTTTGTAAAAAGAAATAGCTCTCTTGATAACGCAACCACCTCACTAATTGCACTGAATGCCTTCGGAGCACAGGTACCTGTGGCCTGGAAGGCTGTGCCATGATAGCACATGGATCTGAAAACATTTCCAGGGAGATCATAAACTGAATTTCATCTCATTGAAAACATTGCAGAATCTCAGGTGTGCACACAGAGCAAGGACAACTATGGCCTTGATAAACATACCAGATAAGCTCTTACACTTACCTGACTGCTGTCTCATTTTCTTTCCAGGCTGTCTTGCACACCGGAGACTTGATGCCACCTCTAAGGCCATTCTTAAGTTGTCTTTTGTAAATCAGTAAATATAAGCAAAACACCCATGAGAAACTTTGCAGGCTACTTCTATTTCTTACCTGCAAGGCTGCCTGGCACATGTCCACTAAGCCCTGAATGAGGTAATATTTGGCTTCTGCCATCAACTCTTTGATCTCCTGTCTGTGTTTCGGAAGTGCAATCGTGTCATCTCGGAGATAGTTTAAAATTGTTCCGAAGTGCTTCCCACAACGGTCTATAAGGATCCAGCCTGAAAAATAATCGTCACATCGTTTCAACCACCCCAAAACTATGCGGCAAGAAAAAGCTCCTCCAAGAGGTTAAATAAGCCTAATGTTTCCTGAAACTGCATATGAGACTCTCCCCATTTCATTCAGCAGAAGTCTTTACTGGCTTTAAGCAAATCAAAGTTTGTTACAGAACAGAAACTGACAGTGGAACCACTCCTTTGGTACCTCCTGCACGTTCTCACTACTTTCCAGCACCCCAAAAGAAAAGTGTCAATCTAAAAATGCCTGGCTTCCTATCACAAGACCCTAAAATTGCTGCAGGAACCTGACTGGACTGAATCAATTGATCAGTCAGTGGGCTTCCTGTCCAAAACCATTATCTGTGCTTCACCTTTTCTGCATTAGGTTCTCATTAAAGGAATGGACCTTTATAACTACTATGGGAAGTCTAATCTACATCTATTCAACTGCCTGTCCAAGCTATTCGAATCTTAAAAAAAAACCCAAAAATGCTTATTGTTAGGTAGTTTGCTGCTTTTATTTAGAGGCTTGTCCTATTCCCAGCAAAACCGGTGTGCCGTATTTGTATGGGAATAAATGTAATAACTGCCACTACAGTGTCATGCTGGGCAATTAGAAACTTACCACTAAGAAAGCCAAGGAAAGACAAGAGAGAATCCAAAAATGTTTGCAACAACTAGATTTGGGATAAGTCCTGTGGCCTAAAGGTTTGGAAGACTTGGCAGTTTTCCAGCCACATCTTCTGCTGTTTTTCAGAGTTAAAGAGAGAGAAGTGTTCCGAAGATGCAAAAAGGTAGACTAGCCCAGAAAACCCAGCATGGGAAAAAAGCTGTTCTAGTCTCCAAATAAGAGCAAAGAACAGGACAGAGACAGGCCAGGAAGGAGAGGGGATGCAGCACAGGAAACAGTAGCAGACAGACAGTTTGTGCAATTTTAAAACATCCCTGAAGTCACATTCCCTCGGAAACAGGATGTCTGACTTGCCGGCAAACAATAGCAATGTAGGATGCACACAGGCAGGGAGCTCAATGCAGTGCCAAACTCTGTTCCATAATGTGGAAGACAGGCAAAAAAGCATTATTTTGGGACCCAGGTACAGAAAACAACACAGGAAAGTAAGCTAACCACTGCTAGTTTCTCCAGCTGTAGGAGCCAGAACGTGAACTTTGTTTTCCATTCAGGCTGAGGCTCTTACACATAACTGCTGGACTAAATGGATTTAGTTGTATGTAACACTCAGCAAGACCCAGCCTGCTCAGGGGGATCTTGGTTGAAACTACAAGCAAAATCCACGTGGAGCTTTTCGGTTTCAGTAAACACACTGTTGTGCATCAAGGTTAAACTGAGGCAATCCGGCCACGCAGAAGAGCTTCCGCGTGCGAGCGCTCCCAAACACCAAGAGGTGACGTACTTGCCAGCCTCTCAGCCTCTTCTCCACAGTGTCACAACCCTCATTCCTAAGGTGTCATTTTGCCCTGGACTACTAGAGAGAGGAGAATGAAAGGACCCATAGCCATTTCTGATATTGGTCTTCTTACTTGCTCTACTCTCTGTAAATTAATACGGGGTTTTATAATGCCCAGATTCAGTGTCCAGCAGGAGGTGACACACCACTTGACTGATGGCTAAATACTGTCACAGCATCATAAGCCGTAAGTGGAACGTGCTACTGGGAGGAGGGAAAAAAAAGAATTTTCTACAAAACAAGCAAGGCTATGCTGAGTTTTAAAGATGAAAACTGAATGTCCCTCCCAACATATGCATTTTGAATGATGCCACGACCTGACACCACATAAACGACAACCCACATACTGCCTGTTCAGTCTTGATCACATCACCAACAATCTGCATACCAGCTGTGATGGCAGCAAAGAGAACCAGTCCTTCCACGAGCTGATTTCAGTAACAAAACCCCACATTTTTATAAAGCGCAGAGGACTGTTAGCACCAATGGGAGCTGGCTGCCTAATGTTACCAGTTATTTTTGGAACACATCTTTCCCTTCGTCCTTAACCGAGTGTTAGTCTTAAGATATTTAAAAAAACACCACCACACCCCATTTTTTTTTTTAAATCCTCAACAACAAAAGACACTCCCTTACCTTCTTTGTCTGTGAGCACCTCCATTCTGCCACTGAACATGGCCTTAAGCATCGTGTCATGCCTGGTGAGGACTTGGACCGTGGTGTAGTACAGAGAGCCCCCGACGTTGAGCCGCACGTACTTGTTACCAAGGCTGCCCCCTTTGAAGCTGCAAGCTCTGGGCTTGGGCCCTGCAGCTGGACAAAGGGTGGTGGTGGCTAGACACGTGTCCCCGGACATCTCCTTCTGTAGGTAGATGACGACCCTGCAGAGCGTGGGCTTGACAGATTCCGCCGTGGTTGGTGGAGTCACACGTCACCAGGCGAGGACGGCAAGGCGAAGGCGGTCATAACCACTGGGCTCCTGGAGCAGAAAGGGGTGAGATCAGTACACAAGTCTGGAATTTCCATCTACAACAAAAACATGAAGCCCACGTTAGAGAAGATATACTTCCACTAAGGACACATCCGCACACATCCTGACAAAAAGAGATCTAGCAGTTTTTCAGACACCTTACGCAGCAATGCAGCGCAGCCGCGATACAGCTGAGGCACGCCCAACTTCTCCCAGCTTCCAGTTGTTTTGTCTTCAGCCAACACTGCAAACGCCACGCAAATCCGCAGCCCCAGTTTACATGCTAAGTCTGGAACTCAGCTCCCTCTCAACTTCCCAAAAGAACACAACTTTTTCTGTGCAGAGCTGAAACTCAGTGGAAGAGCTTCCTGCCCTTCCTTGGGCCGGGGTGCGTGTCTGTGTGCCTGGGGTTTGCTGGTGCTGTTTCGTTTTTTAACTGGAGACAGTCACAAACGTTTCTTCAAATGCCTTGACAGTGAAATGCTGGACAATAACGTTCTATTTCCTGGCAACTCCTTTCATTCAAAACTCTTCTTCCTCCACCCTGGAATGCCAAGCAGTCAATGCAGTTTTAATTAAAAAAAATAATAAATTGTAACATCACCTCCTCGCCAAGTACATCCAGCCTTTGGAAGATCAGTCTCACTTAAAAAGTCAGCTGGATGTTCACTGCTTCTTCCTCTCCCCAGTCTCACTGCGCTTACCCTTCCATCCACGACAACCTCGAGATGGAAACAAACAAATAAAAGAACGAAACTCTAACGGGCCAGATCTGAAGTTCTTACAAGTTTCTTACTTATCCTTCTAATAATAATTATTGTTCTCAAAAGCATTTTGCTGTTTTGTTGTTGTTTTAAAACTTTCAGACTACAAATATCTCCTCCCTTCTCTGTTCTGTGCCTATGGCACGCGAGTAACCTTTCATAAATAAATAATAACTTGCTAATTATGGTGCTGTTCTTCCTACATCCCTCTTCCTTCTCGCTCCACCTCAGCTTCCAACGGAGCAAAAACCCACAGCCAATCATCTGTACAGCAAATTACTCGGCAGCTACAGACGGCACCTTAAAATTGCCAGAGATTTGAGTAAGGACTGAGCTTAGACCACCACCTAGACCACAACGTTACTCTGCGACTCTTAGCGCGGTTACTCTAATTAAGCAAACGCTCCCAACGACGTCCATTACATAACAAGCAGTGCAAATACTGCGCAGAACATCAAGGCACAAACCAATTCTATGAATTTTAGTGGCACAAAAGCTCAATTTGTCTGTAAGTGCTTTAACTGGAACTCCCACTCCCTGCTAATCACCACAACGCCCCACGGCGAGCCTCAGCTGGGCAAGACGAAGCTTTTTCTGGTGACACCACTTGAGTCAAGTAGTCCATGAGCAACCATAAGGCAAAGGCAACCGCGAACTACAAACGGAATTGGCCAGAAAAGTAACTCCTGACTGGTAAGCAAGCAGTGGCAACCAAAAGTTGTGTGTTACAAGAAGTCAGCTACCCAACAGAGCAGCTAAGGGCCACCAAGAAACCCGTCGGAAAGGGCCCAAACGCGGCAGGTAACGCGGTTCCTCCCGCCGGCTCACGGGTGCTCGCTACCACCCGTTACGAGTAAGTGCATCAGGACCGGACAGACCGCGCCTCGTCCCCCGGTTACACCTCCGGTAACAACGGACGGACCCGCGGCCGCGCGTTGGTCGCTGGTGTCCCACCTCGCTCCGACCCCCGGCGATCCCTGTCCTGAAGCAAAGGCACATTCCCAAGGCAGCCAGGCCCGGTCTGTCGGGAGGGCGGGGCTCCCCGACGTGACGCCGCTCGGTGACGGACTCACTAGACACGCGGTGCCCATTAGGGCGGCGGTTTCGGTCAGTTTTACCCTTTCGGGCCGCCACCCGCTCCTCTGGCCGCGCAGAGCGGCGCTCTGCAAGGGCACAACCCCCCCGCAGCAGGCAGCGCTGCTGCTCTGACGTGCTCATTAACTAATTAGCTGGAGGCGTTGGTAATGGGCACTAACGCGTCCTTTAATGACCCGCGAGCACGGGAGCGGGCTTTCCGCGCCCCTCCCTGCCCGGGGCGGCGGGCGGAGCAGGGGCACCGCAGCTGGGCGCGGTCCCGGTGAGAACTTCCATAGCCAGGAATCCCCTCACGGAGAAAAACA